AAATAAATAAATAAATAAATAAATAAATAAATAAATAAATAAAAGCTATTCACAATGCAACAAAATGAATAAATGTAAATTACAAGGGATACAAATTATTTAAAAAATTGTTTAAAATAAGTGTTTTTTTTAAGTTTGAAAGAAGTCACCTGGAGTGAAATATTTACGTCTAAAAATCAACTATTCCTGTTAAATAATGGCGGAAAACTGCCTCCTTTGGGGAAACAATTCCAGAAACCAACCCACCAAACAGCATCTGCTCTGAGACCCAGAGTTTCGAAACTCAAGCAGGAAAGATATTTTCTTTTTTCTTATAATCTGCATTTATTTGTACTATCAAAATAGATGGATGGATGTTCAGAAATCAGAATCAGAAGTTCCTTTAAACATTAAATTGTCAATAAAGTTTTTGTTTTGATACAATAAAAAACTCTTAAGTTGGATCTAAAGACAGTTTTTGATCAAATGTTTGTGAATGTTATGAAATAAAAATGGGGTTTTTGGTTTTCCCTATGGGTTTCCATTTGAGTTTCCTTATTCAGAAACACGTCTGACCTTTGACCCCCCTGTCACTCACATGTTGGAGCTTCTTTTGTTTGTTTACAGAAACTGCAAACTCTCCGTTTCTGAGATGTGAACCGACAGGAACACGTCATTCTTTATTCAGGGTCAGGTTCCAGATCACCCTTAAAACAAGAAATACATTTTTCAAAAAGCTTTTTTGCTTTAATATGTTTTTTTAGAGCAAAATGACACAGACTTTCTGTGGGGATTTGTCTGATCACCCAGAGTCCAATCAGTTGTTTTCCACTGGATTATTTGTCCAGATACAAACATATTGATTTATATTTTTCTTTTCTTTTGTCTAAACCTCTCATTTTGTTGTGTGACTGAATTAAATGCTTAAGCTGTGTGATGGATTATTATTATATGGAGTATGTTGTGAGTATTTGGACATAATCTTTACTCGAGGTACTGATTCAAGATCGCTTTTTAAGCCTGGAGGAAAATTATTTTGCCACCAGATAAAATCTCCTCAAATCTAAAACATTCTTCCAGATAAAGTTCGACAGGCCTAAACTCACAATGTTTAAATCCAGGCTGAAAACATTTTAATTTAGCTGAGCAGATGTCAACGGAAAGCATTTTACATTTTGCTCTGTTTTTATTTGGCTTTTGGGATTTTATTCTAAAGCACTTTGCAAAGCGAGGTGCTTTTTTCCAGGACATTTGACCTGATTCTTGTTATTTCATCTTGAATAACATTAACAGTAATGTCAGATCACATCAGGGTCAGAGAAAAAACATTCAGGAAAAATAATAAACGCGAAAAACAAAAAAAAACTGCAGAAAAAATCCACCAAAACTGAGAAACGATCAGCCAAATTCTAAAGAACTGACAGAGTAAAGTAATAAAACAGGACAAATATGTTTCTCTAAGGTTATTACACAAAGATCCTTTTTAAAATTATTAACCCTTAAACCCTACTTTCATTTAAATGTGAAGAATTTGAAGCCCGTTTGATTAAAAAAAAAACATGAAAAAGCTGTGATCAGATCCAGTTTCTCTCTTTAATAATGAATCGGTGCCTGTTTGAGGCTTTTTTGTGTTCCCAACTCTCCTTTTTAAGTAAATTTTTACCTTTTGGGGCTGATTTTTCTTGGTATTATTGATTACTCTCTTCACACTGGAGTTTTTC